ATTTGGATTTCCAATGGGGGGGTCCTAAACATAACACCTTAAACCAAACTTCTATCTTTCCTTTCAACTCTGCCCCTCTCTTGGTCTTCCCCTTCACAGTTAATGGCTCAGGCCAAGCCTCAGAGTCATCCTTGACTCTTTCTCTCACCTGCCTGCCCCCCATATCCAATCTGTTATCAAATCCTGTGGACACAATCTTCAATATCCAAAAGCTAACATTTCTCTTCATTCCTTAAGCTTCCACTTTAGCCCCAGCCTCCATCACCTGCGCCAGGTTTAATGTAGGAGCCTCCTAACTGGCATCCCCTGCTCCCCTGCTCATCTTCCCATGGAACATTCTCAGAACAAATAATCCTTTAAAACAGTGATCCTTTTCAAAGATTTTATTTTTGTTTCCTTTTTCTCCCCAACACCCCCCAGTACATAGTTGTGTATTTTTAGTTGTGGGTCCTTCTGGTTGTGGCATGTGGGATGCCACCTCGGCATGGCTTGATGAGCGGTGCCATGTCCGTGCCCAGGATCCGAACCGGCGAAGGCGAAGCCCTGGGCCACTGAAGCAGAGCACGCGAACTTAACCACTTGGCCACGGGGCCGGCCCCTGACAGTGATCCTTTTAAAATGTAAGATCCTGTCACTCCGCTGCTCAGATCTCTCCAGCAGCTCCCATCTCACTCAGAATCAAAGTCAAAGTCCTTACAATGGCCCCCAAGGTCTTACCCTGCCTGCCCCCCTCCCTGGCCTCCTGATCTCATCTGCTAGTTCCCTCCACCTGGATCACCCCTCTCCAGCCACAGTGGCCTCCAAACGATGCCTACGACACACCACTCACCCTCCGGCCTCAGCACCTTAGCATGCATGGATATTTCGGTCTGCTACATCCTTCCCCCAGATATCTCCAACACCTACTTTCTCGCCTCTTTCGGTTTCTTACTAAAATATCTCCTTTTCAGGAAGACTTTTTCTGACTACTCTATTTAAAATCACAACCCCCTCCCCTCATCTCTTCCCTACCTTTCAGCCCTGCTTTATTTGTCTCCAAGGCATTTGTCACTATTTAACCTACTAAATATTTTACTTATTTTCCTCCTGCTCAAATATAAGCTTGATGAAGGCAGGAATTTTTATCTGTTTAGTTTAATGCTGAATTTCTACCATCTACAGCAGTGCCTGGCACACCTAGGGTGCTCAATTAATATTTGTTGAATATGTTAATTAATCATGGGCTGCAAGGAGCTCCTAACATGTGTGAAGCAGAGGCCTGGAATGTGCCAGGAAACTCCTTGTAGAGAGTGACACGCTACCCATTTTGCAGATAAGGAGACTGAAACTTGGAGAATTACGAGCGCCCTTCCTCTCTGTCCCCACAGCAACCTGTGCATGTCCTTCGCAGCTATCATTTTCCACGGTCATATTCCATGTCCCCAACTAGATGTAAGACTTTTGAGCTCAAAGACCATCTCTTACTCGTCGTTGCGTCTCCAGCAACTAACTAGTAGGAAGCTGGGCACATCGTAGGTGCTTAAGAAATATTTGTTGCATGTATGCATGAATGAATGAAATGGCTAGATCAGGATACAGATTCACAACTCTCATATAGCAAAGTCTCTGCTCACTGCACTCTGCCCTGGGGTGTCCCTAACACAGCCACTAAACAACATTTAAGAGTCCCTCCTCCTAGCAGAGTGCCCTTCTTGCACATCCTCACCCACAGAGCCAGAAGTATTTCAGATGGGGACCACTGTACACTGGCTGAGAGTTTTTTCCCCATCACACCAGGCAAACAGAAGGAATTTCTCCACTCAATCCATTCACAGTTCCCCAGACACAAAGTCTCTTTTATCCCCACCCCCTTCCTGATTCACAGTCTGCCCCAGTATATCCCCAATCTTCAGCAGCTGGGTTGGGCTGCCTGCCCATCCATCCACTCAGCCTTCAGCCAACAGCGTCTGTGAGCCTTTTCCAGACCACAGTGATAACAGAGCTAACCCCAAACCCCACCCTCACCCCATCTCCACTGTGAGTTGGCTTGGTTCTCTGAGTCTTCATTCCAGCAAACTCTCTCTCCTTTGCCTCTTCTTTCAAGACTCTCCTCCATTCTGCAAACCTTGTCTTAGGTTTATGGAGATGGCTCACTCCATCCGTGGATGATTGTGGATCTCTTGTCTCGTCTGCTTCCCTCTCTTGTGCCTTCATTTCTCTAGATCTGTAATTCTTAACAACTTGGAGAGAAGGGGTCATAGACCCTTTGAGAAATTGATGTGGGCTATGGGCCCTCTCCCTCCAAAAAACGCAAATACTCTTAAATACATCATTTTGCAGTGAAGTTCAAGTGCATCCCAATTAAGAACTCCTCTTCTAGATGGTCTTTTTTCTCTTTCTCTCCTTCCCCCTAGATTTCTGGTTGTTTTTGGGCTTCCAAATCAGCCCACCTTGTTTCCTTTCAGAAGCAGAATCTTCTCCCTATCATATTATTACCAATACCGTTATTGTTATTAACGGCAGCTACAAGATTTGTACGACATTTTTCACGCATCAGCTGATTTCATTCTCTCAACAACCACAAGAGGAAGGAACTATAGTTGTCCCATTCTTACAGATGAGAGAACTGCATGGTTAGATGTTTTTCCAACACCGTATAGCTCTAAGTCCAGGGTTTCTTTCTTCTGCATCATGGTGTGTTGCCTATTATAAACTGCTGTTTCCTTTGACCTTCTCCTTCTCCACCACTTGAAACCTACCTCTGCCCCACCATCCCATGGCTGTTATTCTTAACTGCTGGGTTTTTTTAAACCTCCACCCACCTCTATCACCTGAAATGCATCTTCTTCATCACCTCCCCCACTTCTCTGAAGCTCCCTCCTTCTCCCCCATCCACACCTTCAACTGACCACAGGTGGCTTCTTTGCAGTTGCTTGAGCACATGTGAGCCATGCAACAGTTTCATTTCCCCTTCCATTTTGAGCCCAGCTGTGTCAGCCTTTGTGATCCCTGCCGGCCCTAACTGGGGGCACTCCAGCCTCTTCTGACAGCAGGCCTTGGCATTTCTGGGACTGCCATACCTGAAATCCAGGTAAGAGGAAGGGAGAGGAACCTATTTGAGCACCTTCTTAGTGCCAGGCCCTATGCATGGCCTGGGGACATGGAACCCAACCTTTAAAGGCTCCAGCTTCCAGGTATCCTACTGATGGGCACCTGGAGGCTCTAAGATGGATCGTCTGAATCCATCAGCTGCCTGATTGTGAATTGTTAGGGGCCTCTCTGCAGCATGGCTAACCTTTAATTGCCCCCTGAGCCAGCAAAACTGCTTCTCAGACCCTACACGAGAAACACCTGGCTGTTGGTTAACCTCTTCCTCCTCAGCTCAAATCTCAGACCAGCCTGATAATTTTAGTTAGGTCAATCATAATCACACTTTTTTTCTCGGTGTGATAAAGTTGTATATTATCACAAAAGCAATTTCTAAAACTGTTCATCAAAGTGTAATATACATACAGAAAAGTGTGCATATCCAAAAGAATGCAGCTTGATGAATTTTCACCAATTGAATACATCTGTGTAACCTGCACCTAATCAAGAAACAGAATTTGCCAGCACCCCAGACCCCTCCCCTTGTGCTTCCTTCCTGTCATTACCCCCGAGGTAACCAGTATCCTGATGACTTGTAACAGCACAGATTGGTCTTGCCTGGTTTTGTCCAACAAAAGCAATTTGAAAAGAAACAGACCATCCTCTTGACAACCCCAGACACGCATTTTGATTGATTGATGATTGACTAATTCAGTTAGTCATTGGCCAGATGTTGACTGTGTGTAAAGTGGATCAAGAATCTTCTGAATTGAATGAAAATGCTATAGACTCAAAGGGGCTTTGGCTGGAAACTGACCCTCCACTGGGCCTCCAGAATCTCAAAGTGTGTTCTTAATAAAGGGTCCAGAGTATGTCTGCATGCACATCTTGATCACTTCCTCTAAAGTAAAGGGTCTCATGCCCACTGCTGCTTTTTTTTCTTTTCTTTTTAGTTCTGAAAGAGGGAAATTAGAGACTCTGGGGAGTATCCTGGCCCCCAGAACTCCAGCCTTGATCACTCCTAGTGGTAGAGAAATCATGATCTCATAAGGCTACCTATTGCATTTTCCAGACAGATTTGACAAGTTAGCTTTAAACTGTTAAAAAGCACACGTGCACATACATACAAAACCCCAAAAAAACTTTCTTGTTTGAGCTCAAATATGCTGCAATTTTTGCTCACTGATTCTAGTCCTTTCCTCTGCAGCCTCCCAGAATTAATTTGTCAATTCAATATTCAGATTTGGGGTGCTTCCTCTGTGCCAGTCTCAGAGGCACTTGAGGTGGGTTCCCTGAGCCCCAAGTTCTTCCTGTGGGGATCCTGGGATTGACTGAGTCAGGGATGTGATTAAATGAGTATTTACCAAAGACCCTTGCAGTGGACGCCAGTCCCCAGAAATGCGTTACAAAAATAGACCTCTGAGCTCAGATGAGTTGGGCAAAGGCTGCATGTTCTGTGGTCTGTTCCTAGTATCACATCTTACATCAGCACAGATAAGGCTCTGGGAGGTCCGGAAGCACAAAGACCCTGTTTTACTTTGTCAGGACACACGTCAGTTATCTTTAAGCATCCTCCAAAAGGGCACTGTCCTGTCTGGTAGCCACTAGCACACGGTGATATGAGCACTTGAAATGTGGCTAGTCCAAATTGAGATGTGCTGTGCGTGTAAAATACACACTGGATTTCAAAGTCTTAGTACAAGAAGAAAATAGAAAATGTATAATTTTTATATTGATAGAATATTTTTGAAATATTGCATTAAAATGTATTATTAAAATTAATTTCATCTACTTCTTTTTATTTTTTAAAATGTGACCACCAGAAAATTTATAGTAATACAAGAGTCATGCATTATATTCCCATTGGAGAGTGCTGCTCCAACGTTCCGTGACAGTTGTGAAGCCTTTGTTGGCCTGTGCAGGGGCATGTGACAGGGAGGGGGCGGGTAGCCCAGCGGAGGAAGTACAGGGGAACTGTGGGAATTCATTGAAGGGGCAGCTCATGAAACTTAAGATAGGGTAGTCAGGAAGTGGTGACTAAGCTGAGACCTGAAAGATGAGAAGGAGTTAGCCAGGGGAAGGCAGAGAAAACAGCATGTGCCAAAGCCTTGACATGAAAGGGGAACTGTGAGTATTCCAGGATGTCTGAGGCTCGGGGGGCAGAGGGTAGGTAGTGACCCAACATGAGACCAGAGAGGGCAGCAAGGGCCAAGATTTTGGAGGCTGGTAAGCCCTGGTAAGGGATTTCTCTTGAGGGCTTTGAGAAACTACTGAAGGTTTTCAGTTAGATGAGACTAGGCAGATTTGCATTTTTAAAAAAGTAGCTTGACATTTGGGTGGGGTATAGTTGGGGGTAGGGAAAAACTGGAGGCAGGATGCTATTAGAAGCTTTGGAGTCACTTAGGAGTGAGAAGATAAACTTCTGGACTATGCTACAAGCCCTGGATTAAAGAAATCCAGTGTGTGGGAAAGAGTCAGAGATGTGACCACTGGTCCAGGCTACTGCTTGGAGGTGTGACCAGGAAGAGGGTGGAGTCAAGGTTGATATCCTAGTTTCTGACTAAGGATGTGATGGGAAAACAGAAGTCTGTGTGAGGGGAAGATGATGAGTTTAGGATGGTTCAAGTTCAGTTTGAGAAGCATAGGGGGTATAGAAATGGAGATGCCCAAGATGAAGTAGATAGCCAGATCTGGAGCTCAGAGAAGAGTTATGAGGTGGAGGTAGAGTTGGCACGAAACATCTTCCCTATGAGACTCAGCTTCCTCATTTGCAAAATGGGAGCAGGATCTATTTCCCAGAGTTAGTGTGAGGATTAGATGATGTAGCCTGTTGACTGTGCCTGGCACTGCACAGGCACACGGTGGGTGCTCAGAGAGGAGTGATTCTTTGTCTCAGAGGGTCTCTCATCTCAATTTCCTACATGGTCAAGCCCACCAAGATCTTTGCAGCTACCGCTTCCTCTTCCAGGGCCCGTGGGACCCACATCTGTGTTTTCAAAGTTTCCAGTGCAGTGATGGAGTGACGTTGCTGGAAAAAGTTGTGGGAAAGGCAGCTCCCCCTGCCTGGGTGGCCCTCTAGTAGGAAGGGAGTGAATAGTTGGGGTACTGTGCAGCAGAGAAGACTCAGGATTGCGAGGCAGGAGGATAGGCTACTTGCCCCGACCCACCAGCAAATCAATAAACCTTGTCCTGCTCTAAGCCTCAGTTTCTCCACTGGCTCAAGGAGGGGCCTGCCAGCTGGGCCCTCCCCTGGTTCTATTTCTGCCTTCTTCTCGCTCCCAGAAAGCCTCTTCCCTTCTCCTGGCCCACAGAAGACATCACTTCCTTGAAGACTTGGCTGACTGTGGGCCTCCTGGCAGCTCCTTCCTGGGGCCGAGGGCCAAAATCCTGACAAGATTAAGAAGAGGCTTTGGGACTGGGCCATGCCGGGAAAACAGGAAAGATGACGAATCAAACTCCCCTCTTTCTGGGGGATGTTTATTCCAGTGTTCCCTCAGCTGAGTTTTCTGGATACACAGTAACCCTTGACTTTTCATCCTGTGCCCAGCCTCTGGCCCCACGGCAACTAGGACACCCCTTAATCCTAGAGCTCTCAGGACGGGCTTGCTCCCATGTCTGCTTGGCTAACTGCACCGAACTCCTGGAAAGCAGGAAGAGCACAGATATATCTTAACTGAGTGTGTACCTCGTTCCATGGGAGAAACCGTCCTCTCATACAAGCCTCTCCAGCTCCCCAGGGTAAGCAACGTTCTTCCCATTTTCAGCCATGGAAACTGAGGCTCAGGCAGGCTCCCCAAGGTCCCCAGCGTGTTGGTGTTGGATCTAGAAATGGGGAGAGGTAGAAGGGAGAAGGACGTCCTACCAGTTAAGAGGATAGTCTTCGGAGGCTGACAAACCTTGCTGGGTTTGAATCCTGACTCTGCCACTTCTAGCCTGTGGAATCTGGGCAGGTTCCTACTGTCTGGGGTAGCGGTTGAGAGCACAGGCTTTGAAATCAAATGTCAGTGCCACCATCTGCTAGTTATGTGACCTTGGGTGAGTTCCTCCGCCTCTCTGCACTCCAGTTTCCACAGCTGTAAAACAGGATAATAATAGCTCGTACCGCATTGACTTGTTGTGCGGATTAAACGTGATAATCCAGGTGGAACACTTAGCACAGTGTCTGGCCCACGGATCAGCTCCATCCATGTCAGCTATGGTATGAATGCGGATCTTGCTGACTCCAGCTACCACCTGTTCCCCAGCCTGTCACCCTGGTGGCTCATTCAGCCCTTGGCGTGTGGTAGGTGCTCACTGGCTTGCTGACTGAAGGAGTGGTTGGGAATTGACTCAGTGTTTCTGCCAACAGGCTTCTGACAACATGTGGGAGTAGGATTTTAAAGGAAGACAATTTTCAGGAGTTTCCCGACCAACGAGCAAGCGATTGCTTTTTGCAAGCTAGTATGAACTTTAAATTATTTCCAGACTGCATTTTCCTCTCTGATTGCAGAAGCAACTTGTGCTCATTGTGAACTGTTCAAATGTTACATAAAGACAGAAAGTGGAGAGTTAAGGTCCTAACTAATCCTGCTTTGAAAGAGGTGCCCACTGTTTATCTGAGGCATGTCCTTCCAGACTTTTCCTGTGCCTATACTTAATTCTTGAGCTCTGCTGTGGGCCCTTCTCTATGTTAGACACTGCAGGGGTGGGACACAGAATTTCACGGAACACTTAATCAGCAGTTAAAGCCACCATTGTACTGATGACTCATTCGCTCAGCATGCACTTAACATTCAGGTCTCTGGGACCCAGAAATGATGAATCAAGGTCCTGTGTGGCTTTTGAGGGAGACCCGAGATTGAATCAGCGAGGAGACCCTCTGGTGTACTTGCCGCCTGATTACGTGCATGTCAGCCAAGCCTCAGTGAGAGGGCAGAATGGTGATGTGGCCCCCTGCCCAGGGAATAGGTTTTTCCAACTTCATTCACTGTGTGTAGGGAACTGAGTAGAAGGTGCTAGAAAGACTGGGCTTGCCACAGGTGGTTTCTGTGCTATAGGGCTCGTTGCTTCCCTTCCCTGAGCCTCAGGTTCCTCATTTGAAGAGTGAAGAGAATCTTCTTGCCTTGAAAGGCACATTCTCCCATTCATTAATTCCTTAATTCACTCACTTATAAAGGACGGTATTTCCTAAGACTGTGGAGAGTTTACTCTTTAAACATGGCCATCTAGGAACGGAAGAGTTGAGTCCTGTGGTAGATTATATTATTTTTCAGTAAATATTTAGTTGCCCCAGCCCTCCTCACCATGGCAGGAATATACTTCCTCATTCTGTTGATACTAGACTTAGCCACGTGACTTGCTTTGGCCAAAAGAATATGTGTGGAAGTGACAGAGGCCAGCTCCAAGACACTGAGTGTTTCCATTCACTCTTCTTGAACAACTGTCCTTGGCCATGAAAACCATAGTCCCAGATAGTGGGGGCTTCTTCAGCCTGGACTCAGAATGAGAAGACACATGAGGCTGCCTTGTACTCAACCTGCAGCCTGCAGCTCAGCTCAGCCTACACCAGGAGAGCCCTGATGAACCCCAGTCAACCCACAGCTCCCTAGGTGAGAAATGAACATCTACTGTTGCAAGCACTGAGTTTCTGGAAATTGTTTTCCATGTAGCATTGCTGCAGCAAACTCTGACCAGTGTGGATCCCTAGCGAACTCCTATGCTGACTTTAGCTTGGGTCTGCGGAAGGATTCTCTGAGTAGGCGATATTTGTCCTGAGATCTGAATGTTAAGAAGGATTTGGTTATGTGGCCATCTTGAGGGAAGAGTTCTGGGCAAAGGCAACAGCAATGCCGTGGTCCTGAGGCTGGAGGAAACCTGGCCTGTTCAGGAATAGAAATAAAGCCAGTGGGTGGGCTGGTCTACCTGGTAAGGGAGGGGACAGAGGTCTGAGCTCCAAACCCCTAAGTTCAATGGGGTGCTTCACATTTCCACTTGGACATTCCCCAGACACTTTAGACTCAAAACATCAGATCCAAAGCTGAACTTGTGGTCTTCTCCCAAACCTGCCTTCCTTTTTCATTTCCCCATCTCAGTCGATGACAGCACCACCTACTTACTCTGTCACCCATGCCACAAGGCTCCTCCTTAACTCCTCCCTCTCCCTCAACCCCCACATTCAATCTATCTTCAAGTCCTGCCAGTTCCACTCCACTCATTCTCTCATATTTGTCCACTTCTCTCCACTTCCACTGAGACCACCTGGGTTGAAGGCACTATCATCTCTTGCTTGGACGACAGCATTAGCTAGCCCCCCAGCTTCCCTGCCAGCATTCTTAGCCCCTCTCCAATCAGTCCTCCGCATGGCAGCCAGTGGTCTTGTTTAAAAACAAATCATCTCCCAATAAGTGAATAGATAAACAAACTGTAGTACCTCCACACAATGCAATATTATTCGGCAGTAAAAAGAAATGAGCTAAGTTCTGGAGATGGATGGTGGTGATTGTTGCACAATAATGCAAATACGCTTAGTTTCAGTGAACTGTACACTTAGAGATGGTTAAAATGGTAAATCTTATTTTGTGTATTTTAACACACACACACAAACACATATACAAAGGAATGAGCTCTCAAGCCACGGAAGAACTTGATATGCATATCGCTAAGTGGAAGAAATCAGTCTGAAGAGGCTATGTACTACATGATTCCAACTTCATGACATTCTGGAAAAGGCAAAACCATAGGAGGCGGTGAAAAGACAGTGGGTGCCAGCAGTGAAGGGGTGCAGGAGACGGATGAATAGATGAAGCACAGGGTGTTTTTAGGGCAGTGAAACTAGTCTGTATGACACTGTAATGGTGAACTCATGTTGTTACACACTTGTCAAAACCCAGCGGACTGTACAACACACAGAGTGAACCCTAATGTAAACTGTGGACTTTAGTCAATAAAAATCCCCTACAAAAACAACAACAAAAACCCAAATCTAGTTTCATGACTCCTCTGTTTAGACCTTTCAATGCCAGGCCCCCTAACCTGGGCAGGAGGGTTTGTCCTTCCTTCTTCTCCTGACTTAGCCCTAGTCATTCTTTAAGGGCTCAGCTGAAATGCCACCTTTTCGGAGAAAACTTCCCTCATTCCCCAAACTCGATCAGGCCCACCTGCTTTTATTTTCCCCTTAGAGTCTGTTCTTCAACTCTGCAGCTTTTGTGCATTTGTAATTAGATACTTAATTGTTTGTATTTATTTGCATAATAGCTGTCTTTAAGGCAAATGTTTATTTGGATAATGGCTGTCTATTGGACTTAGCCACACCCACCCCATCTCTCTAGCCACTTTCCCTGAAACTGATCACTTCTTTCCTGAAGCGCTTTCCGAATTTGAGCAATGCCAGAGCTCTAACCATTTATTTTGCTAAGATTTTTTTTTAGTGAAAAATTGCAAATAGCCTATAATGTCCAAAATAAGCCCCACAAAGGCAGAATCATGTCTGTCTTCTTCACCATCTTGTCTCTAGCACTTAGCTAGTGCCTGGTACCTAACAGAGCTCACTAAATGTGTGGTTGGACAGAGTTTGAAATAAAAGGTCACATTTTGTAAGATTCCATTTATATGAAATATCCAAAATAGGTAAATCTATAGAGACAGAAAGCAGATAGGTGGTTATCAGGGGCTGGGAGAGGACAGAATGAGGAGCAACTGCTTAATGAGTATGGGGTTTCCTTTTGGGGGTTGAAAATGTTTTGGAACTTGACAAAAGTGGGGGTTGTACAACGTTGTGAATGTACTAATTGCCACTGAACTGCATATTTCTAAATGGTTCATTTTATCTTATGTGAACTTCACCTCAATTTTAAAAAATTGCTTGAAATATTAACCAATGTATTGCTTTTTCTGAACAAAGTCTTTTCATCACCTTTGTTAGGTTCAGACTAGTACCTTTGGCCTCAGAGGTGGTTTTTATAGCAGAAATGCAGGAAGAATAATAAGTTAATGTTAGCTTTTTTCCTTAAAACTTTTTATGCTAGAAAATTTTGAGTATATAAAAAGTAGAGAAAATAATATAATGAACCTCCACATACTCATCACCCAGCTTCAACAGTTGTCAACTCATGGATAAATTTATTATATGCCCATCTACCTCTCTCCTCTATTGAATTATTTTGATGCAAATATCAGACATCATATGATTTCATGCATAAACATTTCCTTATGTCTCTCTAAAAAATAAGAACTTTAAACACGTAACCACAATACCATTATCACGCCTAAAAATCAACAACAAATTCTTAAGATTATCAAACGTCCAGTGTTCAAATATACCCAATTGTTGCATAATTTTAAAACATGTGATGTGTTTGTTTGAATCAAGATCCAAACAAGGTCCACATAGTCCATCGACTGATATGTCTCAAGCTTTTTTAAATCTGTAGGTTTTCCCTCTCTCTCTTTTTGAAAGTGCCGAAGTGGAATAGACAGGACTCCCTTCCTCTGTCTTCAATTTATTTATTGAAGAAATGAGGTATTTGTTTTGTAGAGTTTCCTGCATTCTGGATTTTGCTGATTGCATCCCTGTGGTGTCATTTAACATGTTCCCTTGACCCCTTTATTTCACGTGATTAATATCTTGATAACGTCAGGTTAGATGTTTTTTGGCAAGAATACTTCACAGGTGATGTTGCGTACCTCTACCAGGAGGCACATCATGCATATTTCTCTCTCTTTCTGTGAAATTCCTAGTTATTGATGATCATGACTTAAATCCATTGTTGTGTTGAAGGTTGCGAAATACAAAATGCAAAATTCTAATTCTTAAAAATTTTTTTCCTTTATTACCAGAAACACTTCTATTTTTTTTTTTTTTTTTTTTTTGAGGAAGATTAGCCCTGAGCTAGCATCCGCTGCCAATCCTCTTCTTCTTTTTTTTTTGCTGGGAAAGATTGGCTCTGAGCTAACATCTGTTCCCACATTCCTCTACTTTGTATGTGGGATGCCTGCTACAGGATGGCTTGATAAGCAGCACATAGGTCTGTGCCCAGGATCTGAATCAGCAAACCCCGGGCTGCTAAAGCGGAGCAAGCCAACTTAACCACTGAGCCACTGGCCAGCCCCAGAAGCACTGCTATTAAGAGAAACTTCCTCTAACCAACTATTTGGTTACAATGAAATTCAGTTCATATAGGAAAAGTAGGAACAATGCTTGGTTCTTTCCCTTTGTTTACCAATTTTCAAAATGATTAGTTACTTCCCTAACGTGCTCAGGGAAAATCCAATGAGGTTTTCTTTTTTACTCTTTTTTTTGAGTATCATTATGAACTAATGAATTTTAAACCTGTTTGATTGGAAATCTTATTGATGCTCAAATTTTCTCATCTTTGGCCAACTAAAGCCTCTTCAAATTGGCCTCTTTTGACACGATCCTGTAGTTTCCTTGCTTTCTAGAATGACAAGATGTTCCAGGTTCATCTTGAATGTTTTTGCCCCAGACCTTCAATCAGCTATTTTTCCAAGGATCCCTGGTTCTTTTATGGGAAATGATATTTAGATCTTTAGTGATCTTTTCTCCAGGAGTGTTCATAGCTACTGCATTGGTAATAGTTTCTAGGCCTTTTCAGTGGATAGAGATAAAAATTTTTGAGATGTTTTGAGTTCACACTGATATTTTCAACTTCAATTTATATTACAGAATTTTTACTTAACCTCTTTGATTTTATATTTGTATTTCTTTTCTCTTAGGCTAAGTCTTGGTTTCTAATGGCAATAGCATTAGATTTATTTGTTTTATCTCATAATGAATAAAGTAACAATTTTTACTAATAATATGATTACCAAAAACATTTCAAGATTAGAAACTTTTTGGGGGGGCCGGCCTGGTGGCACAGTGGTTAAATTCGCACATTCCACTTCAATGGCCCGGTGTTCACTGGTTTGGATCCTGGGTGTGGACCTATGCACCGCTTACCAAGCCATGCTGTGGTAGGCATCCCATATATAAAAAATGGAAGAAGATAGGTATGGATGTTAGCTCAGGGCCAGTCTTCCTCAGCAAAAAAAAAAGAGGAGGATTGGTGGCAGCTGTTAGCTTAGGGCTAATCTTCCTCAAAAAAAATAATAAATTAAAAAAAAACCACACTTTTTTTGGCAGTGCTTCTTGTCCTTTGAGTACATCCGATTGGGAACATACAATCAAATGACTGTGCCTATAGTCGTTTAAAATAATTCTTCTCAGACTGGTTATGCTGTCAATTTAACTCATAGTTTGACACCTCTGTTTCATTTTGCTTTCAAGTTTTAGGGGTTACTTTATTTAAAATTCAATTTTGTCTTAGTAATTATATAGAACGTTTATACCATTCCATAGCCAAATCTTCAAAATAAAGTATATTTGGATGAATCTGGAAATACCTGTTCCCTCCACTCTGGTCTCTCCCTCTCCCATAGGTAATTTTTTTTTTTAAGTTTTTTTGTTTTGTTTCTTTAATTTAAAAAGTATGATCATATATATATATTTATTTATATTTGCTCCTTCTTACATAAATGGTAGCATACCACATACACTTCTTTCAGTAAATATATTCTTGAGTTCATTCTATTACAGTGTATAGAGATAGCTCTTCTTCCTTTTTACAGCTGCATAGTACTCCATTGTGTAAACGTACGATGATTTATTCACTTAATTCCTGGTTGATGTGTGTTTGGTAGTTTCTAGCCATTTGCTATTAAAAAGAGTGCTGTAACAAATGGTCTTGTGCATCATTACTCTCAGGCTTTAGCCAGCATATTTTTGGGATTGATTCCTAGAAGTAGGATTGCTGAGGAATGCATACGTAATGTTGGTTTTCAAAGTCCTAGCCCAAGAATACTTTCTGTGTGAGCCTTTCCGCATTACCTCTCTGTGCCTCAGTTTCTCACATGCAACCTCAGAGGGTTGCTGGAACTAAACGGGCTAATGGTTTAAAAGTGCTTCAAGAGTATGCCTGGTACAGAGGAGGCGTTCAGTAAATGTTAAGTAGGAGGTAGGGAGCATGCGGCGTGGGCAGGTGGGAACAGCAGAGTTAGACGCTGGGATGAGTCTTTGAGAAGGGACTCTGTACCTGCCCCTCCTGCCCCTCCTGCCCCTCCAGGAGTGAAAGGAATAGTAGAACCGAGAGAGAAAGTTTGGAGTTTAAAGAAGAGATTGAATGAATAGGACATGGACTAATAGCTGGGTGCCGCCATGGACAGTGGTCCCCCTCAGGCCCCCAATGTCTCCCCTCCCAAAGCTTGGGTGCCACCTCCATGCTCTGACCCGCCCTGAGACTTAGATGTACTCTGAGAGAAAAGAAGGAGGAAACTCTCACTTGACTGCACTTAACCTGAATTTATTTAGAGTAAATGTCTGTCACTAGGCAGGATGAGCACTTGAGTAGACATTAAATTCAATGGTAGAAAAATAAGGTATTTTATATATTTGTTTTACGTGAGTTTGTGGCCTGTGAAATTCGAACCCATTACAACATAGTTATTGACTGATAGCTTGAGGCGTAGGAAGAAGAGTAGGATGCCAGAGAATGGAAGGAGAGGGAGAGAAAAAGAAATATGGGGAGGCAGCTTTGCTCGCCTTACGCATGAGTCTAGAGCTGTGCTGTCCAATATGGTAGCTATTAGTCCATGCGGCTGATAGCTATTATACTGGAAAACCTGACTGTGGAACATCTCCTTCATTGCAGAAAGCTCTGTGGACAGTGGGGGTCCACTCTAGACCCCAAAGGAACAGCATACATGGAAATGTTGATCGGATGTGCATGGGGCAGTAGAATGAAGACCTGGTGCCAGAAGCCCCATCCTAGTATCCCCATTTCTGGTGACCAAGGAAATGGGTCAGAACTGGTTCTCTGAAGGTCCGGGGTAGCTGCCTGCAACCATGAGGTTGCCCAAGTCTGTGTCTTGGTCTCTCTCTCCTCCAGGGAGCATCTTCCTCCAGCTCCAGCTCTTCACTCTCTTCCGACGAGATGTTTCCCCCAAAGTCATGCCCTGCCTCATTCCCTAGGTCTCCCTCCCGGGATTGTAGCAGGCCCCCATCCAGCTGGTCTATTTGTCCCTTATCATCTGGCAAAGCTGGATTGAGGTGGCTGGTAGGCTGCCTAGAGGTGGAGGCAAGCAAGGCACCCCCTGCTGGTCCTGCTTAAGCTCTGCTGTCTCTTATTTCCTGTTTCTGTAGCCAGTTCCCTGGGCCTGTCAAAGGGTAGCGCGGAAGCCTGCCCCTTCCTTCCCCCACCGTGTTTACTTTTGAAAAGGGGGAAGTGGTACTGCCCCAAGGTCCATGAGCTGGGCTGACAGCATCATTCTCCTGCAGCCCTCCCAGCTCTGAAACCTCCAGCTCTCAGTTCTATTGAGGTACCCACACCCACCCCACAAACAGCCCTTCCTTCAGAATTGCAAAGTCTGGGGAGCCTGGTGCCCCAGACCCAGAGGTAGCCCCCCTGCTCTGTTCTGCTTGGTTCTATGGGGATAGAGTGACCGTCTCATTGCTATCCCACTTTCATTCAACAAATGTTTATGGGTCATCTACTCTGGGCCAGACCCTGAGAACACGACAGTCTACAAGACAGACGGGGCCCCTGCGACAGTCTACAAGACAGACAGGGCCCCTGCCCTTTGGACATCCATCTGAGTGGGAAAGACAGACAACAAACAGGAAAAAGGGGGTCCTGGCTGAGGAGCTGGTTGGGAGGAGCATTCTAATATGGGAGGGTCTTCTGGGCTTGCAGAGTGCTGTGGAAGTGAGCAGGGAGATGGGCTCAGAGAGGCCAGCAAATGCGAAAGGAGGTGTGAGCATCGTGGAGCTCCATGAAGACAGGGACCATGGCCCATTTGCCCTCCTGGAATCCTCAGTGCCTGGTCCAGAGCAAGAGCTCATTAAACATTGAAGGAACGAATGAATGAATAAGTGAAATAATGCTGACTGAGATATGGGACAGAGCTGGGGGCTTCAGAGCTGGCCTTGCCTCTGTGGTGCCCCCTGCCATCCACTGTTCCACGGGAGATGGACGTCAGCCCCACACTGGCTAGCTCTGTTCCACTCACATTCATTCTCTGGTGTTTCCCAGTCCTCCCCCAGAGCCACCGCCTCCAGCCTCCCCTGGCTCAGGGCCAGGCAGCTCTATCCTCCTGCCGGCTCCTCACTTGGCAGTTTGTCGAGTGGAGACATCAAGTGGTCAGACCTTGGAATGGCAGCGGTCAAGCTGAAGATGGGGAGTGACTGAGCCCTCATTCAGGAGGACTGATCCAGCCACAGATGGGTCTTGACCCTGTGTCCACACTGAACCTTATCTTGGCTGAGCCCAGACTCCAGCCCGAGAACAAACTCTAACCCTGGTCACAGACTGAGGCCCTGTGCCCCCAAATACCCCTAATTTAAAATTTGTGCTGTAATGACCTGACACCACTTAAAAAACCTTTTTATTGAAATGTAACATAACATTGCGAAAAGTGCCCACGTCACAAGAATTTTCAGGAACTAAACACATCCATGTAATCGATGCTCACTGCCAGCATCCCAGTAGCCTTCTCGCATACCCTTCCAGTCACAACCTCCCAAGGCAAACACTCTCCTGCCTTCTAGCAGCATATCTTAAGTTTTGTCTGTTTTCATGCTTCTATATGTTTGAAATCATACACTATATCCCTTCTGACATCTGATTTCTTTTGCTCACCATTGTGTTGGTAAAATTAATCCATATTTCTCTGTGTAGTGGTTGATAGTTCATACACACTGGTGCCCACTGTTTTACCAACCCACTGAGAATCTAGCCAAAGGGGTTGAACCCACATCCGATCAAGCCTCTGGATCCAGCTGCCAACTTGCAGG